GTAATCGAACAGTGTGATCGGACAGTTGACTGTAATCGGACATTTGGCTGTAATCAGACAGTTGGCTGTAATCGGACACCTGTAATCGGACAGTTGAAGTAGCCAATCATACTTATTCCACTCAGCCAAAGCCACCAATCACAGAATTAATCACAATAACCATAGCAACAACCACTTATCCTGAAGAAATTGAGGAATTTCCAAAATGGAAAATTTTTTATTTTAGATATTGTCTCTACCAGAGATATTTGACTTAAACGTATTTGTCGTTTTCGGAAATTTTAACAGTTCTGATTAATTGGTAACAGGACTTCTTGTCGTCCAATTCTGTCTTTAATCATACTCGTGATAGACAAATTGACTCCCACTTCGCGGCCGTCCAATTTTGTCAATCACTCGTATGATTACAGACCGAATTGGACTCCACTCGGTCCTATTACCATAAATAATAATATACATGAAAAACTACGCGCGTCTGATTGGCTGAAAACGAGTGCATTTTCATGTAACACAAATGCAAAGTGCAAACACGAGTACGAATTACAAATAGCGCGCGCTGCCAAAATTTCGTCCGTCTTGACTTTCTGTGATGCGTTTTTCATGCAAATTACCAACAAGTAACAGCATAATACATTCTATAACGAGCAGTTTGGTGTAAATAAGCACTTGTACATTTTTCAAAGACTACAAATTGCACGCGACCGTAGGGCGAGTGCAATTTTGTTGTCTTTGAAAAATTGACTCCTGTTCATTAACACCAAACTGCTCTCGCAATCATGTTATTACTTATACTTTATTTCGCAGTCAAAGGTAAAAATGCGTATGTTACCTGAGTAGAACCAAAGGACAATTCTCCCCCTGAAGAAATGATTCCATCTCTCCCTTTGTCAGGCTGAAATGTTACAACCGAAAAACGCCAGTTTTAATGCTCGAAGTCAACAGTGTAAGATAACTTGGAGAAACAATGAAAGATGATTTTTTTTTGGGGTATTGTCACGAGCGTGAGACTAAGGAAAATTTCTTATGCCGTTTCAAGGATCGAACCCCAGAAGTTCGAGTTTCTTTTAAGTTCTCTTTTTCCCTCCCTTCCGTCACGTGGTCTGATCAAAGTAACAGTAAGAGAAAAGGAGTAGGGCTCCAGGAAAATGAATGTTTACGAGCGGAAGAAATGTAAGGGGATAGGTAAAGGAATCATAAGTTGGTCGAGAAGTACTGGACCCATTGTCATAAAATTCCTGGATCCTGGTGAAAGTTTAACCTAAAAACCCATGCACCGAAACCCACCGAGTACTTACGTTCTTCCTGAAGTACTCTGGCGAGAGGCCTTCCAGGTGCAGTATTCTTTTTTCAAGATCTGAGAGTCTCTTGTAAACGTCTTGTGGTACAGGTCTCTCTAAATAGGAACACAAACAAGAGTATAGTATTTTGGTCTTCGACATGTTGAAACATAAACAAAAAAATTGAGTAACATCCGAAGTATATTTTTAAGAATTTCGTTTTGTAATTAAGACATTATTTAACATAATATTTGTAGCTTGACTCAAGAACGCCTCTCAAAACCTCCTCCTATATTCGAACTTCTGAAAACACTCCTGGAAAATCGCCAATAATCACTGGAGTAATATTCACGAGAAATTTCAAGGAATTACTTCCCAGACTACAATTTCTATTAATATGGGAAATATTTTTCCAAGGGAAAATATCAATTATTTTGCTTTTACCTGAAGCTTGCAATAAAAAACGGATCAAAATTTACGCAAATAATTCTATAAATACATCATGTCAATAGTACGTCATAGAACTCTTGTCAATCAAGGAGACTTCAGAGAAAATTTACACCAATCAAAATTTTGGTGATTTCCCTGAGAGGTCCGCATCAAAGTTATAAATTTTAAAACGTAGCTCTTTTTTCGCATTTCACGATAACTCAGTTAGCCTCATAGAGCGTTCCAATCTAGACGAGTTAGTATGTCCGGACGTGGAAAAGGCGGAAAAGGTCTCGGCAAAGGAGGTGCTAAGCGTCATCGCAAAATCTTGCGTGATAACATTCAAGGAATCACTAAACCAGCTATCCGCCGTCTTGCTCGTCGTGGTGGAGTTAAGCGCATCTCTGGATTGATTTACGAAGAAACGCGCGGGGTCCTTAAGGTCTTCCTTGAGAACGTGATTCGTGATGCTGTTACTTATACAGAACATGCCAAAAGGAAGACGGTCACAGCCATGGATGTTGTGTATGCTCTAAAGAGACAAGGCCGTACGCTGTACGGATTCGGCGGCTAGACCCGTTAGGTTCAACCTCTCTATATCAAAGGCTCCTCTAGGAGCCACCACATCTCTCGAAAGTCATAACCAATAAAGGTTTCCTGTATGAAATAGTAATCACTACATAACACTCGATATGTTGCCTGTTATGTCCCCACTCCCAGATTCATCAGATTTCGGATTGAACTAACTTTCTCGACGAATTGTGACGAATAAGCGCGTCAAATGCGAGAAACCGTAGCCTTAATCTGACGAACCCTTTAACTAGCTTTGCCGATCTTTCTCATTTTAAAGCTACTGGCATGGCTTAATTTAGCTTTTGATTAGATCCACATTGGGAAAACGATGAATAGATAACTGAAACTGCTACAGCAAGCTGATGTTTTTGACCGGCATTTTGAACACCACATGACAATCGTATCGGATGTTTATGAAATATTCAGACTGGAAGTATTACCTCTCAAGCGTACCAATCACTGTTCGAGATTTTCGATCCGCATACTAATTGATCCGGCGATTATTTCGTTTAAATGAAAAAGGTCATCTAAACAAACTTCAGTTAAGATCTCTCAAAATGGCACCAAAGGTAGCCGGCAAGAAGGGCGAAAAGCGAGCTGGTAAGGCAAAGAGCGCCGCCGAAGGAGGAAAAGGTAAAAGAACTCGAAAGCGGAAGGAAAGCTATGCCATTTACATTTACAAAGTCCTCAAGCAAGTTCACCCAGACACGGGAATCTCTAGCAAAGCAATGGGCATCATGAACTCTTTCGTGAACGATATTTTTGAACGGATCGCCACAGAAGCTTCAAGACTGGCCCACTATAACAAGAAATCGACCATCAGCTCTCGCGAAATTCAGACCGCAATCAGGCTGCTTCTTCCCGGTGAACTGGCAAAACACGCCGTCAGTGAAGGAACCAAAGCCGTAACTAAGTACACGAGCAGCAAGTAATTTACGAAATCTGTTTGAATTACGTGGGCCTCAAAGTCCAGAAAACCCAGAACGATTCAATGGAATTGTGTTAGCGTGATTGGAGGATTGGAATTGTTATCGATAGTAGCACGAGACTTGATCGAGTTGCCCTCAACAAAGGCGCAAAAAAGTTGACATTTTTATCAATTTTTACGTTCAATTAACACGATAAACTTAAATCATAGTCATTTTTTATGAGAATTTGACCTGTTATCTCATTTCTCCATTAAATTTTTTTTTCGTGTACGTGCTAGTTCAGATGCCAAACCTTAGCTGATTGATTTCACAGCCTGTCTTTGTCTTTGTGAAGTCCAATAGCTTTCCTTGTTTTTATTTTCTAGACGGAAGTGAACTGCAGTTTAATATTGTGTTTCGATCAAAGTTAGGATACATGCAATTGTTGTACGAGTCGGACTCTAATACATTTGATCTTCAGATGTTGTCAGACGAACTGAGGTACAATGTTGACCGAGTCATGTTAAAATGATTTATGTCGACGTGATTAATGTTTCCCAGTAATCAATTATTAAACAAATAAAGTGGGCAGATGGAGTGATTCTGTGAATGTGAGATTCCTGTTTTCATCTGCATGTGTTCAAAACTTTGCCGTGTTCAAAACGTTGCCGTGTTCCAAGACAAGCTGTTCAGCATTACTTTAACCCTTTAAGATCTCATTAGTGATTCTCCTTATTATCTCCTATGCAGTTCATGTGATGTTAATTTGGAGAATTTGTTATTGGATCATCTAAAAAAATTCCCTTACTGATATTTTCTTTATTCTCATCACTTGTTGACAATGTAAGGAAAAATTCTGTCTTGGTCACCCATGGGAATTAAGAGTTAAACTTTGTTGTGTTACCAACCAAATTCCAACTAGTGTCGTACCAACTGTTGCAAACACCTGTTACACCCTTAACCCTTTAAATCCCAGATCACATTTTGAATTCTCTTTACTGTCAACCATACAATTCTTAAGATGTTAGTTCCGAGAATTTAGTATTGGATCAACTATACAATTCTTATGATGTTAATTCATAGAATTTAGAATTGGATCAACTAATAATTATTATCCCCAACTTGATATTTTTCTTTATTCCCATTACTTAAGTAGTTGATATTGTATTGATATTGTGAGGAGAGATTCAGTCTTGGTCACTCATGAGAGTTAAAGGGTCAAATCAGTATCCACATTCTCCATACTCTCATCCATAAATTTAGTTAGGTTCTGACAATGAGAATGTGTGTAACAATCAAAGCTACTTAAATTAGAGATCATTTCCTTTATTCATATGATCCCAGTAAGTGATTCAGTGTTACTATTTTACCAATAAATTAGATGCTGATTAATTTTAGTACTTAGAGGGTTAAGTTGACACCTGAGGAAAGCCTAACCTGGTCTGTATCCGAGGTGGATCTCTATGTTTCTGATGCGCTCCTCTGTGCTGTGGCAAGAACTAACTCCCATGCCAATTTGAGAAGCTACTGGGGTTCTTTGCTTTGAGAACTCAGGTCCAAGTGCTTGTGCCTCACTTGCACTACTTGTGTTTTCAACCTGTGTCACTGTTAAAGAGACCTTGTCACCAAGGGAAAAAACTGGTGGCTTTCTGGAAGCTAAGAGGCAGGGCTGGGATAGTGGGTGTAAGGTCATAGGAACAATGAGAGAAATAGGATCACTGAAATTATGCACTTCCCATACAGTCAATAACTACTATGTTTAATCAGTTAATTTTTGGTGCAATTTTTTTTTTAAAGATGCAATCCGCATTACAAGGTGGACCTTATTCAGAAATCCTCACCCTCTAGAAATAATCATTAAAAATTGACTGATCTGGTAAAATTTTCTAAAATTAGCATAGAAATACACTAGTGAGAATAGTAGATACAAATTCGTAATCAATCAGCACAACATTTTCTTTAAAAAGAGACTCAAACCCTTCTGAAGACATATTTCTGGAGCTCTAGTTTTGGGAGAATAATCTTGATTGTTTCATACCTTTAATGTGGCTTTTTTGTCCATGTCTGTGCACAAACACTGCATCAACTCGTGCACAGCTAAATTCTGTAAACATTAAAAAAGAAAAGGAAAGAAAAAAAGGAATTGTCATTTAAGTGTGATACACAGTCAAAATACATTAAAATAAAGTGAAAGCAAATGTTATTAAAAAATAGGAAAATCAAAAATAATTGAAGATATTTTAAAACTTATTAAAAAATTACTTCTCACCAACCATTGTTATTTTCTGTATCAATGATGCTACAAAACTCCCTCTTGTTAAGTAGATCCACCTCCAAACGTTTCCTTTGCATGAAAGCTGAAATTCTCCTATCAATCTAAGTTAGAAAATTTCCATGAAACATTAAAATATTATATAAACTAATGTTTACACAAAGTGTAATAAAATAGTAAAATGGCAACTGTTTAATTTTTTTATATAAATATTTTAGTGTTCCTTTGCATTTACCTCAGCCTTTGAAGCATTAACTTGAATAAGTGATGTGTCTAATTCTTCGATGTTGTCAGATACTAAAAACAACAACAAAAAAATGTTTAAAATGATAAACATCAACGACAACAAAAATTTTAGTCCATTCCAAATGAAACTGAGATTCAATGGTTTAACCCCAGGGTAACATGTGATATAGTGTAGTCTGATCGTCCAGGTGAGTATAGTCATGAAACTGAAACACTTCATATTGTATAATAAAATTTGCTGCAGCATGTATTGGTTGGTATTGAAGTGATTTAAGCTGTATTGAAACAACTTTGTACATGTATCAAATTGACTTGTATCAGAAGGACTTTGTATTGAAACAGCCAGTCCTCCATGTGACCATTCAGCTCCCTTCTGTTAAGTCTTACACCCATGTATAAGGTATAAATTGTTCCTTTATAAGAATATCTTTGAATCAGAGTTGTTTTATCTTCTCAAAATTGCTCTTAACTCAATGATAAGAGTACCAGTTTTATCTTCGTGATCATCCTCTGGCTTCATTTTCTTAGCCTTGGGACTCATTCCAACTGGGTCAGTTCCTTCTTTTTTGTCACAATGGCTCTATGAAAAAATGAGCATTAATCAGTGAACTAAGAAATATGCCATAAGACCAATTTTATTTATATCACTTCTTCCTGGGGGTATAAAAGACATAAAAAAGGTTGGAGGAAACACATAATTTGGGATACCAATAAATTCATAGATGGTATATTACAAGAAGAAATGCTATAGCCTGGCAGGTGCAGTAAGGGAGATGGGAGGGGAATGCCAGTGCAGCCATCTCCCTTTT